AAACCCTATAAACCCCCCCCCCCCCCCCCAAGGCCTTAAACCTCAAGCTTCAGCTCCCAGGTGCCTTAGGAAACCTGAGCCCAGGTGGGGGGATCGCCGCCTTCTTCCAGTGGCGGCTCGGCCGGGGAGTAGATTGGAATCAGGGGTTGCTGGAAACCCCTAAACCCCTAACCCCTAAACCCTAAACCCCTAAACCCTAAACCCCTAAACCCCTAAACCCTAAACCCTAGGGTTTCGGGCTGAGGGGTTACGATGAAGGGTACTTGGTAAAGGTTACTGCGCTGGTGCTCTGAGGTTGATATGAGGTTCCCGTGAAGGTTACTGTAAAGGGTTCTCTAAGGTTGCTATAAGGTTACTGTAAGGTTACTCTAAGGGTCTGAAGATTATTCTAAGGTTTCTGTAAGGTTACTAAAAACGGTTGCTATAGCAGGATTTGATGCAGAGGGCAATTGCTGGTTATCGAGATCTCTCTGTCGGGCCACAGCTACAAAGTGACTTGCCTTCCGGATGAATACAGGTGTGTGAATAACTAGTAGTACAGGGGCCAACACTCCACACACACCTGGGCCCGAGGTATGTACTGACGCTGGCTGGGTTGGTGCTGCTGTTGGTGCCCTGGCCATGTTCTCGCGGACTGGGGCTTTGCTGGCATAGGCATACCTTTCTCCGAAAAGGGGTGGTACTAATGTCGTGAAGTGTCTTCGGCGATAGCAACATCATGAAGTACAGAAGTTTTGTGCACATCAGGACTCACACAACAATAGCAGAAGGTAGCAAAGCAGGACCCATGGCCGACTGAAACAGGACAACGCTTTCGCCATAAACACTCAAAATGCCGTACACTGGCACGAGAGGATGGATCTGACTTCCGATAAGTGGTGCAGTGCTTGGGAGGTACTTTGGTTCTGATCTTCCTCGGAACTGCTCTCACGAGGCTAGGATAGGCGATGATGGAGTGTGCATGTACCTGGTTCAAACTATCTTGCAAGCGAGACACGCTCAAGTGGGCCAGAGTGAAGGGCCACAATTTTTCAAACACCCCTCATGCACAATTATAGGGGTCATGTTTAATATGGGGTGCCATACTGCAGCACAGAACAGTGCATCATGAAGACGCGGGGTCCGGGGTAGAACGCAGTCTGATATGGTATAGTAGTAGATAGAGAGTCGGCGTAGCCCAAAGCAATGCATAAAGATGCTGCAGCATTGCTCGAAAATCCCTGAAGCCCTATAAACGCTCAACTTTAGAAGCCCGCAATCTTAGACCCAAACCCCCAAGCCCAAAGCCCCCAAAGCCTAAAAAGCCAAGCCCCAAGCCCCGCAAGCCGAAACGGCTTGGATGCCATGGCAGCGGATGTGGTGCCTTTGCCCCAAGCGAGCTCCGATCTCGATTTCGTTACGGTCGAGGACTGGAGGAATGTCCTGGAGGGTCCCGTGCCCAGCTACGTGAGGACCGAAGTCGGGGTAGAGAACAACGCAAGTCACAGACACAAAGAAGCAGCAGTGCTTGTTTAGATGTTGGTGCCTTGAAGAATCGCAAACATAATCTGCCCAACCCCAAGTCTTAAAACTTCGAAGCCCGAAGCCTTCAACTTCGACCCTCCAAATCCCCGCGCCCGACATGACGCGAGGACTCTCTTCGTGGCGATACTGCGCTGCACCCGCCCAGAGAGCTCGGCGGCGAGTTGGACACAGCCCCTGGGCCTGCGTTTAAAAGTTCTTCCCCTCCCGGAGGCTCCTGGTCGAAAGGGATCCCCTTATAAGGGTTTAGGGTGTAGGGTTTAGGGTGTAGGGTTTAGGTTTTAGGGTTTAGGGTTTAGTAAGATGTTCATTCCTTGACCCATACCGGGGATGGATTGTAAGGGATGTTGAGATCTGTACATCTCTTCAAGAGTCTCTCAAACCGCTTACAAAGCAGATGTAGAACCTTATCGGGGAGCGAATTCCTGAATTCAGTCTGCAGCGAGGCGTTTTTCTACTAAACCTCTAAACCCTAAACCCTCACGCCAAAACCCTAAACCCCAGCGCACCGAAAAAGTGAACCCTACAAGCTTAAAAACTCCGAGAAACTTCGATGCTAAAGCACGGTACATCAACCTACAACCCCCTAAAACGCCCCGCCCCTCTACGACCCTGAGCCCAAACTCCTAAATCCTCAACCCTAAACCCAAACCCCTAAACAGAAACCCTTAAAATCAGTAGCTGAGGATCCAAGATCTCCTCAGAGGGGACGTCGGGTTCATAGCCGCGCTTCAAGCCTTCGAGCCGGAGGTGGGGGGCTTGGGTTTAGGGTTTAGGGTTTAGAGTCTAGGGTTTAGGGTTTAGGTTCAGAGAGCTTGTGTAGCATTTAGGGTTTGCATGGTTCAGAGATCAGGGTTCCAGGAGGTTTCTGAGGGTTGAGGGGTTAGAGTCGTGTTGGCTGCGGGCTCGTGGGTTTTAAGTGAGAGCTGCTCGCGTTCTTTTCCCAAGCCCGCGAAAACCTGCAGCCCACAAAATCCATAAAACGTTATTCCCCACAGAGGCCTCGATCCTTAGCAACCCTGCAGCCCTAAACGTTTAGTTTCCCAGGCCAGCGACAGGCACCGCATCCGGGACATACTTTATTCAGAGATGGAGGTAGCGTGGCCACTGGGGGTGGGGGGGAGTTGGGATTTTTTTTAGGGATTGCAATGCGGGTTCCTACAGGGGTACCTGGCAATTTGGGATTTAGGGATTGATTTGGTACGTAGGGTTTTGGTGCTGTAGAGATCATGGGGGTTGAGGCGGTTAAGGGTTGTAGGATCTGGACGTTTGGCAGATGTCTTTTGCTTCAATGGTTTGCCATGGCTGGAGGTTGCCTCTATCCCCGTGAAGTACATGGCCTTTTTCTCACCGGGTTGCGAGCTGCTCCTCCGCTGGTGCCACGCCCCTCAGTTTCGCACCTCAAATAGTGGGATCTTGTACACAAAGCACCCCTCCCCGTAACCTCAACCCCAAAACCCGACACCCTGGAAAGGCCCCGGTTCCGAGGCCTTGGGCGACGCCTGCGGCTGCCCGCCTCCGACCTTCCCACAGGCGAAGGATCACCTGCGCTCAGCCTGGGAGGAAGCCGAGGAGGCAAGGGACCAGCGCAAGAAGGCCAGGGACGAAGCCAGAGCTGCCAAAGAAGCCGCCAGAGCTGCCAAAGACGGAGATGTCGCCAAGAAGGGCACCGAAAAGGAGGGCTTGGAGAGGGAGGCTTCGGAGGAAAGAGGAGGCCGGCTGCAGCTGAAGTCCCTCCTCTCAGGGGAGGTCTTCGCCACCTTGCCGGGTGCCCTTCCGACCTGGACCTACAAGGCCCGGTTTGCAGGTTCTTGTTTCAGAAGGAGCAAGGAACGCTTGCTGGAGTCGTAACACGTTGTAAGTAAATCTTCGGGCGCATGGAGCTCCGGACGCACCCGACCTTTGCAAGCTTCTGTGATCTGTGACTAGGTTACCCGGAACCACGCAACGCATAGCTTGCCCGGCGTGAGTACACACTCACGCAGAGTTTTAAGCATAAGTTTCTGGCGGCGACATTGCGAGGTTCTAGGGTCACGAGGGTTCCCACGTCGAATCTTCCGAGCATTGGCCTTCATCCTGTTTCGTCGGCCCCGTTGCCTCCCCTAGCGCCAGAAGCCGTAATTCCTGAGCATGGACGCCCAGACCCAAGCCCTGCAAGTCCAACACCCTCGGAATCCGAAACGGCAAGCAACTCAAGCTCCATCCTAATGCTAGCCTTGAACCAAAGCCAGAAAACCCACTGCAAATCCTCACCCGTCTCTATCCAATACCTCCAGAACCGGACGGGTGTAGGTTTAGGGTTTAGGGTCGCTGTTTGTTCCAGGCACCCGGATGCCCAAAACCCCACCTCCTAGATTCTAAACCTGAACCCTGCACCCTAAGCCCCAAAGGACATCGTGGATCGACTTCGACCCCTCCTTCCGCAAGAGGCTGGGGTTCTGACCCTCCTGGTGGGTGAGGCTCTGACGCCCATGGAGCCGAGGATCATTTCAGTGTCTTTAGGGTTGTTGGGTTTAGGAGCTTAGGCCCTAAGCCAGGCGGAGGGCTTGAAGGTCCAGGAGCTGAGATTCTCAGAGCTTTTCTTGGTGTTAGAGGTTTTGGAGATGAGGAGGCCTTAGGGGTCTAGCGCGTCGGGTAGTGTTGCTTCAAGGCGATTTTGGTGAGATGCTCCCAGGGTTCGAAAGGGCTGACATGATAGTTCGGCTTGTTGTTGCAGGATTGTGCTCGCACGATAAGAGGATGTCTTGGAAGCGTCCTTTCGAATAAAGAAGAGTCTTGTACGCTGCAGAAGAGTCATGACATCTCATGGGTCTCGTGCCCAATCGCCTGTTCTCTGTGATAGCGGGCAGTACCATCGCTTCAAGACTTTCATTGCGCAGCCCCATAAGAACCCCCAAAACCCTAAACCCAACCCTATCAGCAGCCCGACGAATCTCAGAAAGACTACCAAGCCCTGCTTCAGGTTTCTGGGGGGGGTCTAATCCCGTAAACCTCCCTTGGACCCTAAATCCCAAACCCCAAATCCT